CTTCCATGGTGGGTGATCTGGCCTTTTTCTCTTGCTGCCTTTAGGATTTTTTCTTTTGTGCCTACTTTATTTAGGTGAATTATTATGTGTCTAGGAGTTGATCTTCTCATTTGTTGTCTTGCGGGGGTTCTCTGAATCTCTTGTGTTTGAATTTTTGTATCACTGATTAGATGAGGGAAATTTTCTTGAATGATCTCGTGGAAAGTTTGTTCCAATGTGGTCTCTGTTTCTCTTTCTGCCTCAGGGAGTCCGATTATTCTTAGGTTAGGCCTCTTGAGGTAGTCACTCATCTCTTGAAGGTTTTGTTCTGTCTTTTTAAGCTTATTTTCTGTGTTTTTAAGAGTTTGGGTTATTTCTATATTTTGGTCCTCAAGCTCTGAGATTCTTTCTTCTGCTTGGGTAATTCTGCTTTCCATGCTTATCAATTTGTTATTTATTTCATTCACAGTATTCTTTATTACTGTTATCTCAGATATCAGCTCCTTCCTAGTTTCTTCTTGTGTCTCCTCAATTCTTTTTAATCTCTCCATTATTGTTTTGATATCTACATTTGCATTTTGAGACCCTTCATTCTGGGGACTTTTCATTGTTTGTATTCCAAAGTCAGTTTTCTCAGTGTCTGCTCTCCCAGGCGTCTGGGAAAGACCCATACTCTTCTTTTGGTTTTTCTTCATTTCTGTAGATTTTTCTCCCTTTACCCCTTCCCCTCCCCCTCTTCAATTCTGTTTTTGAGGGAAGGTGGGGTTGCTTTTATTTCTCTTCTGCAATGACCTGTTCTTCCTTCTGAGGGTCTTCTGGTTTTGTTCACTTTTCCCTCTGCTTTACAGTCTGTCTATTCAGCAGTTTGCAGTCTTGGTCCGTTCAGAGAATCTCACCAGTTCACCTATGCCGTCGCCATCTTGCCCCGTCTCCATTAGAGCTCTTTTATATGTTATTTTTTTCTTTTGCTTTATTAAGATCCTCTCTTTGTCTTTGACCTCTAAGAGTTTGATTATTACATGCTTTGGGGTAGTCTTATCTGGGTTGCATCTGTTTTGGTGATATTTGACTTTTCTGTACCTGGATATTTAATCCTTCTCTTGGTTTAGAAAATTTTCTGTTATTATTTATTTGAATAAGTTTTCTATCCCCTTTTTCTTTTGTAATTCCCTCTTGAAGGCCAATGACTCTCTCTCTATATATATATATATATTTTTTGTATATATTTATATAAAATTTATATTATATAAAAATTTGTCAAGACTTAATAAGAAAGATGTGTATTCAGTAGCAGTTGGATGAAATGTTCTGTAAATGTAAATTAGATCCATTGGTCTGGAATCATTTAATTCCAACATTTCTTTGTTAATCTTCTATCTAAATGGTCTGTCCATTACTGAGAGTGGGATGTTGAAATTCCCTACTATTATTGTACGGCAGTATATCTCTCCCTTTAGATCTATCAGTATTTGTCCTATATATTAGGGTATTGCAGTGTTAGGTACATATGTGCATGTATGTGTGTGCGTGTGTGTGTGTGTGTACAGATATATATATTTCTGGAATATATATATTCCAGAGATAACAATCCACATAGAATAGAACGCAAATGGCCTATCTGGAGTTTTGTAATGCCATGACCCTACATGAGTGCAGATGAATTGGGACATAAAGAACTAACCAAAGCCAGACAAATGTAATTTAACAATGATTCGTGAAGGCAATTTAAGTCTGTTGTAGAAATAGGAAGAAAAGGTGATTTCATAGGAAATCTAGAGGTGAACAGATCATGTGAGAATCACCACAGATGAATATTTAGAGGACACAATAAAGCCCCTTACATGCACAGTTACCTGGACAGAGTAAAAGAGTATTTATATCAGATCCTCCTAGGAGAGTAGGGTGGAAGGAGTCAAGGGATTTGGACCAGTACCCTATGACTGTGCTATACAGAAGAGATGAGGAGACTTGCTGAGGAAACTTGGGAAGGTGTAGAGCAGAATGAAGAGGGAAATGAAAGAGAGATAATGCACCTAGGAAGTGGTAGAACTAGGAGAGAGAACTCAGTGACATGAAATGATGACAGGAGATGGAGGAAGACCTAGTTTCCTGCCCCTTCTATCCTTGAACTTCTCTTCTCCATTGGCTTCTGTGACCTGCATCATTCAGCTCTTCCAAACTCCCAAGGATCATTCTTATTTCCTAACTTCAATTTCCCTTTTATACTCCTAACTGTGAGTATATCTGAAGGTGCCCTTAACCTCTGACTCTTCTACTTTTTTCCCTTGTTCATAGATTCAACTTGTATATCATTCAAACTACAGACTTGACCTTCTTTCTTTCTTCAGTTTAGCCTCTCCAATTGTCTGTTTAATTTTTTCCCATAAGGGACCCATGATTACCTCAAACTTAAACAACCTTTCTTCTGCATTTTTGTATGTATAGCCAGCCATGCCAAAACTGAAAACCTCAGCTTGATCTCTGCCTCTCCCTTACATGTTACCTCGCCTCAGTCAGTCCTCAAGTCCCTTCTACCATTTCATGTAACCAACAAATCTTTTAGGCAACCAACTCAAAGGTTCTGTGAGTCTATGGTCTGTGGCTGTCTTATTTCTTTATCATCTACCTAAAAGAACCAAGTCATAGAAACTCAAAACACAAAGTATGGACAGGAACATTAGAAGTTTGGAGGCATTAGCCAAGTGAAATTTGGATGGCACACACGTTTGTTTCTAACTTATTAACTGTATTATATATGTTCTTTCTTTTTAATATATAAGACATAAGTAAACTAAATGTGTAAGATTTTTTTAAAATTTTAAGGATGTGGAGTACAATTCAGAATTCGGTATGCAAATGGTCACTGTACAGGTAAAATTTGGGCCTCGCTTTGGTCCCCACTTCGCCTGGTTTGTGATCAGGTACTCTTATTGATTAAGTGGTGTCCCCTCCTTCCCTGGCAGTTTTCTTCTACTGTCAATCTCTTTTTAATAGTATTATGATAATTGTTCAGTGTTCGCTTATGAGTGAGAACATATGATACTCAGTTCTTTGTTTCTGTGATAGATCACTGAGTATTATAGACTCTAAATCCATCCAAGCTGCTGCAAAGTTCATAATTTTGTCCTTCTGTATGGCTGCATAATATTCCATTGTACCACATTTTTTTAATCTAGTTCATTATTGGTGGGCAGCACTGTTGGTTCTATGTTATTTGTGAATAATGCTGCAATAAACATGCATGTGCAGGAAACTGTGTGGTGATTCGTAAAAGATCTAAAAATTGATCTTCTATATGACCCAGCAATCCCCCTTCTGGGAATAATCCCAGAGGAACTCAAATCACTCTATAAAAAAAGATTCTATTTTTTTGGATGAATTTATTTATTTATTTACTTAATTTTAAGGATGTGGGGTACAATTCAGGTTAGGCATACAAATGTTCATTATGCAGGTACCCTTGTTGATGAGGTATGCCCCCGGCTTCCCCAGGCATATTCCCACTACTGCCAATCCCACTCTCCCAAAAAAGATTCTTTAAAAGCGCTGATGTATCTTTTTTCCTTCTTTTTCCAATTACATCAGACTCCATCCAAAATTTTCATTGGTCTCTAGATTCTATGACCAATCTTTTAACTGCTTTTGCTGTGACCACAATCCTGAGATCTGCTTCTTCTTACTGAGTGGAATTTGCTGCATTTTGTTTTCAAATCATTTCCACCTTTATCTCTTCAAGTCTCATTTTCCTTAGTTATAAGAAGGGGATAGTGATACCAACTTTTTAGGGAAGTTTTAAAGTTAAATTCAGATTACATATATATAATTTCTAATATAGTGCCTGGCCTACTAGTTCCTTATTTGTTCATCTATCTTCAGTGTCTAGGACTGTGGGCTAGATGATGTGTTTTAAGGGTGGAAGGACAGAGCAGACATGATTTGCCAAGAGTCTTGGGACAGGGCTGAGAGGAAGATTGAGATGCAGCTGAAGAAGAAGCCATGCAGAAGGAAGGCTGGGCTAGGAGTGGCACAGGAGAAGTTACTGTGGGTGGCCTACAGGATGTGTTGGTTGAGGACTCAGAGAAGCCTCAAGCCAAATGGGTTAATCATCCTCGCTGGGCTCAGCTGGTCAGAATGTTTGTCATTTAACTTAGAGAGTATCAAACACACACCTTGCCGGAAAAAAAAAAATCAGTTTCAAGAAAACAACTTTTTTTCTTCCTTGGCATCTCAATTAAGGGGCAGGAAACCTTCCCTCCCCACACATAATCAACCTTTTTAATGAGATATTTTTATTTGTATAAAAGTAGGTTCTTTGGCAATGAGGAGGGGGTACAAGGGATCAGAGGGCAAGGAAGTGCAGGACATTAAAATATGGCAGCTCCAGAGGGTTTCAAAGTGCAGTGGGAACCACTGTTGTGTATTCCTCCGAGCTGTATTATGACAGCTATGGGCACCCCAACCACACAGCTGTGGGGACAGAGGATATGGCCAGGGGGACAGAGTACTCAAAAGCACTCTGAAATGGCGGAGATCAGGACTGCAGTGGGCAAGGCATCTCAGATCGTTACACTGTTCTCTACCATGCTGGGTCGAAGGTACTCATAGGGCAGGTCCAGGCCCGAATTGCGGACCTCAATCTCCTTGTCCATGGTAGCCAGCTCCTCCCGGAATTGCTTCAACACAGCTTGGGGCCCAGGGCCTGAGAAATATTCCTCCTTGTGCTGCCCTAGGGCCACCTGAGAGGGGGAGGAAAAAATGGCTCAGCCCCATGGGCCTCTTACCCAGGAATATTGTCCTTCCTTAAAGCTGCTTCCTCCCCAAGACCCAGGCGTCCATATCTCACCATGACAGGCTGATGTCTGCCAAGGAACTTTGTGAAAGTCTTTTGCATACGAGCCTGGTGGACAGTGGGCAGTGAATCCACTATATCCTTCTCTGAAACATCCTTGGAGACGGGTGGGGGCTTCCTCATGGTGCAAGGGCCATTAGGAATCCAGGAGTACCAGTCCAGCTACAGAGAGGAGAGCCACTCAGAAACCCAGGCTGATGACTTAGGCACTTGATCCCCTCCTTCTCCATCCCAGGAGCCCCTGGGAATGATCACACCGGTTACCTGGCCCAGGTGAGAAGAAGCATGCTGACCAGTGCATGTGAAGATACACATGGTGACAAAATGGCAGAGCTGAGCCCGGGACTCTAAGGCGATGGGGAACCTGGTGAAATGAGAAGAATGAGAGACTTTGAGACCAGGACATGAGGCAGAGCTCAGGCTGTGAAAAATATGTGAAGATACAGGAGAAAAAAAAAACGTGTAGACTCTACAGCTCCCACATAATGTGTGCTCAAATGTATATGCACTTGGGCTGAATGCTGGACCTATGGGGAGAGTGTGGGGAGGAGTGGGCAAATACCTAAGATAAAGTTGTGCATCTGGTTCCAGAGGAAGCTCTTAGTACATGAGGAGGAAGAACACTGTGTGGGAGAGGGAGAGAGGAAGAGGACTGGAGAAATCAGAAATGGTTATTAGTGTTTCTGGAGGATGGTTTGGAGAGAGTCAGGGAATTCTCAACCTCCCCAGGAGAGGTGTTTATGATGTTGTGAGAAGATGCAGATTGTTGTCAGATTGCTGGGCATTAACACAGGTCACTGGTGAGAGATCTCTGCCTTACCCTCGGTTTTGGGCCTTCTGCAGTCCAGTCTCTGTGATCTCTCTGCACCAGGCCTGCAGCTCTGAGTCATCCTTCACAGCTTTGTCACTCTTGTAGAAAAGCCCAACTATTCCCTCCACATACCTGTTCCCCAGGGAAGAAGACACTCTGTCTCAGGTGGCCAACATAGGACCTTCTGGACCTACAGTCTCTCCCCACCCCCTGCTGTTCTCTCCCTCTCTGTGTTGCCCTCACCTGTAGATGATTCCCCATAGCCTAAGGGCATCTTGGCCATAGAGAGAAGACTTCAAATCCAAGAGCCCACGGTCAGCCAGGTCATTAGGAGGACACAAGGAACGATAGGTCAAACAATCCGTGGCTCTCTTGAGAATGTCCACATGGCCTCCACTGCCAGTGCTCACCACCTGAGGACCACCCACAGCAGATAAATGAGGGTTAGCCATACCAGGTGAGGGAGGGAAGAAGATTAGGATCGGGAGACTCCAGGCCAATGAACCTACTCTGGCCCTTTTAGCCAGGAAGCTACATAAGTCTGAAGCTGATCATGGAGAGGCCTTTAGTGGAGGAAACAGAACTTGGGAGAGGAATGGGTAAGGGAAAGAATCCTTGAGATTTGTTCAACAGTGAACCCTCCTCCCTCTTTACCCATCCATTTACATACCAAATCAAAAATTCCCCATTCAGAAACAAGATTATTCCTGGCCAGGATGTTGATCTCCATGGTGTAGCGAAAGTGAGGAATCAGGAGCTGATTATGGAAGAGAGAAATGGGACACAGTCAAATAAGAGAGATCCTAGGATCCGTGAGGGGAGGGAATATTAAAGGACCAGTGATAGAAAAGAAGAAAGACATGGTTCTTCATAAAACTGTCTCCAATGGATGGAATTGGGTCAGGCAAGATTGGGAGAAAAGAGATGGAGAAATGTCTTCTCAGGGTCTTTCAAGGTCAAGGATTTTAAGGTGTCATTTATTTGCACAGGTTCATTTCCTTTGTAAGAATTCCTGGAATTCCTTATCCTAGCAAGTGCCCATATATGAGCCCGTTCCTTTTTGTCTTCCTCTGGATGTCACACTCCTACAACTATTATTCCCTCTTGCTCTCACTCCTCCTCTCCCTCTCTCTCTCCCTCTCTCCCTCTCTTTTATACAAACATGCAGAGATACCCTAAAAAAAGAAAACCCCGTCTTGACCCCACATCCCTGTCTAGTCATCTCCTCATTTCTTACTTTCCTTTTCACAACAAATCTTCTTAAAAGAGTCACCTGGTATTGTCTCTACTTCATCACCTCACATTTTCTGCTCAGTGCACACCAATCAGGCCTCCTCATTTCCAATTCCTTGAGTTAGTACTTATCCAATGACTAACCAATGACTTCCAGATTGACAAATTCAAATGTCACGTCTCTAACTTTATTGATCTCTCAGCAGCATTTGAGGCAAATAATCATGCCTCCCCCTAAAACACTTTTCTTTCTGGTTGTCATAAATCACACTTTTTTATTTCCCTTCAACCTCAATGGAGGTCCCTTCTCTTGTTCCTTTTCTCCTTCCCTTCCCTCTTCTCAGGGTATAAAGGTTGGAGCACCCTAGAGTTATTTACTGGGCCAAATTCTATGCTGTAGCTACAAAACTTAGAGGGCTTTATCTCATGCAACAGCTTTAGATACTTGCTTTCTGATAACTCTAAAATCTATATCTTCAACCCTGGCTTCTTCCAGAAACTCCAGGTTCATATATTCGATTTCCTTCCTGACATATTCAAATAGATGTCTACAGGCATTGGAAATCTCACATTGTCAGAACAGAACTCTTAATTATTCTCCAAAAATCAAAATGGTTTCCTCTCTCATCGTCTCTTTCCTACTACCCAACACTTCAGTCACCCTTACCCCACCCTTTAATCACACCTAATATCTGCCACTACCCGTGTTCCTGTTTGTTCCTCTCTTCTACAGATCTCTCTGACTGGAATGTCCTCATCCTTCGTCAACTAGCTCCTCAGTCCCAATTTCAACTCCTTTGCAAAGTCTGTTCTCACTCTTTCCCCTAACTCATAACAGGTGTGTGCCTTAGGTGTTTTCATAGCACACTTATGTGTATGTGTGCATGTGTCTGTCCACATATAAGCTGAGATTGCGGCTAGCCTAGTATGCAACGAAGTTCAATTCTGGGTAGATGCCTCCTGAAGCAAGGAGTGTGAAATCTGAAGGAGAGTCAGATGCAGAATTACAGAGTTTCTTAGATACCTTGTAGATAGGATGTAGGCTAGGCAAGCTCCTCATTGTAGCCACAGAAATAACCTCAGCTACCAGGTGTCCCCTCAGCAGATGTGATTGTAACTGGTGCAGCTGGAAGTCAGAGCTACGGACCCATGTCTTGGCCAGGAGCCAGGCCATGGGAGGATCTGAGGGCAGGAAGAGCAGAGGTGGGGGGCATCCATGTCGAGGTGGCTGGAGCTACACAGCAAGAGAGAGAGTAGCAGCTGAGGACCTGTGTGTCAGAGTCCCTACAGGAAATCAATGTCTGGCAGAAAGATACCTGAGTCCTCTTACTTGGATGACCATAGGCAAGAGTCTTCCATCTGGGTGAAGCTTCAGCATGACCAAAGGGGCTGTCACATATTGTTGCTTTAAAATGATGACATTAGGTTTGACCCCATCCAGTAGGGAGAAATCAGCTTCAAACAGAGATCCGGCCTGTAGGGTCAGGGGCAGAGATAGACAAAAAAGTTAAAGTCCGTTCTAGACCTGCCCTTCTCTCATTTGCTAGGGGGAAATCCTTCCTCTGCCTATCCAAGTCTGCTACTTTAAACCCTAATTGCTCTCCCCAGAACCAAAGACCTGAATGCAGGGTTTTCACATCCCCTGGTGAAGTTTCTGGCTTTCCACTACATACCACTATTCCCAACCCAATTTTTCTCTTATCCCCTCTTCTGTAGGCTTTAGCCAAATGTAGCAAAACAATTTCCTTTATGTTCTCCCCCCACACCCCTCCCCCCAAAAGAACAGGCTCCAGTTTCTAGCTTTCTGAGGCTCTGTTCAGTCTTTCTTGCTGTTTTTCTCCAGAAGCTTGAGCTGTTTCCTAAGACTGACATATACCTAATGAAGAAGGAAGAGAAGGTGGGGATGAAAGAGGAGGAAAACAAAAAGGAGATAACAGAAGGAGATAGTACTGATCATGGTTCTTAACCAGGGGTGATTCCACCTCCCCCACATAGGCTATTTTACTATGTCTAGAGACATTTGTGGTTGTCACAACTGGGAGGATGCTACTGGCAGCTAGTGGGTAGAGGCCAGGGATGCTACAAAAAATCCTGCAATGCACAGGACAGACCCTCACAACAGAAAATGATGTGACCCAAAGTGTCAATTGTGCCAAAATTGAGAAATCTTAAGTGCAGATGCATGAAGGTGTGAATGACAAGGTGTCAATGGAGGAGATGATGGAAGGGAAAAGGGATGGGAGAAGAAGGAAGCAAAGAGAAAGGGGATGACGGCTGAGGTGGTAGGTGAGCAGACGGAGTGCAGCACCCGGAGTTCTTTTTCCAGCTGGATCTTCAAGTCTTCTGTCCCTGGAGGCAGCACCAGTCGGGCTGGGAGACTTCTAGAACGCTTCAGGAGCATGGGGTTTGCACCATTAAGGAACTGGTATCCAAATAGGTCATCGTCCTTCCAGGAACCACAAACTCGTTCTAGGGACATCAGTTGGGGAGCACACTGTGAGCTCTGAGCTCCTGATTCCACTGACACATCACTCTCCTACCCTCTCTCCCCCTCTTCTTTCAAATCTCTGCGTTGGAAATCTGTATATAGGTTTTGAGAGGTTGTGTTAACTGACCAGCCAGGGCAGTCTTTCCACGTGGGAATACTTTTTTGAAATCTTCCAGTCTTTTTACACAACTTGTCAAATCCAATGCCCCCTTAATAGCCAAGTCCTTTAACCTGTGGAAAGATGGAACACAAGATCAAGAAAGGATCCCACCTTGCCTCCTGGGGTGCAAATGTCCAGCCTCATCCTGGCCCTCACCCTTTCGCCAGGGAGACAGTAAAGTCGAAATCCTTATCTTCGAGGAATCGCTGGTCCTTGGGAAGGTCCTTCTCCGTATTCCCTGCTACAGGCAGGATTAACCCATCTTTCCAGGAGCCCCACCTGAAGGTACAACATGGGGTCAGGGATAAGCAGGGCGGTAGGTTCATTGGAATCTGGTAGGGGATCCGAGGCTTTCTGGGGCTCACCTATACAGCTTCCTTCTTTCCTCGAGCTCCTGTTCCCGAAATTTCTTAAACGAATTCTTGGGGTCATCATTCACGGTCCGGGCTGGGGGAGAGGAAACAAGAGCATGCGCCCCCGCGCCCCCCGCGCCCCGCCCCACTCCAAGCTCTAGCCTCCCCATCAGCCATCCTCTTCAGCCCCATCCTCCTTCACGTCTCCCCCTCTTCCTCCCCTCTCTTCCATGTCCCTCTTAATATCAGAGCACCCCCGCGCGCTTCCTCCTCCAACCCGCCAGGTGCTGCACGCCCTTCTCCACTGCGCTCACCAGTGGCCTCGGGCAGGCAAATAATCCCATGTCCCTGCACCCAGTGGTAACAGGGGAAAAGCGCCTCGCCCTGGGTCCCGGGGCCCTGTACTGAGATCCACTTGCAGAACCAGTCGAGGCCCAACAGAACTTTGTGCTTGCGCAACTTCACCAGCAGGAGGCGCCCCAAGTGTACAGGAACGTCGATCTCAAATTCCGTCACCTGCGGGACAGGATGCTGCTCAGAGTCAGGTTCTGGGTCTTCAGAGAGGGCGGCGGAAATGGTGAGCCTCCCCTCGGAGCACACCCCGGGAGAGACCCGGACCGGGTGGAGGTGAGGAGGACCAGCCCACTCGGCGGGGCTCGGGCCTCCCGGGCCCCGGCCGCGTCCGGGGAGCCGCCTGTGGTCCCAGCAAGTAAGCCGGTGTCTCCACTCCTTCCGCCCAAGCAGCGAAACGCCACTCGTCCCTCCCGTTCCTCTCGCTTTTCCTTTTCCTGTAAGACACCTTGCAGGCACCCGACCTCGTCTCCTGGCCCCGCTTTCTGGGCTTCCCTCGCCGAGGCTTCAGCGCCCGCAGGCTCCTCCCGATCCCTGTCCCCGGGGCACCCGCGGAGTCCCAGGTCCCCGTCTCTCACTCCGCCCTCGGCCGCGGTGGGCACTGACCTTGCCCCACACCGGCCGCAGCTGCCTTCCCAGGTCCGCCTCCCCGTGCTCGCCCACCAGCCACAGCTGCACTAGATTGCTGGAGCCCGCCAGGAGCGAATCCCCGGTGGCGACACGGACGGTGTACTTGCCCATCTTGCCCAGACCTCGAAGAGGTCGCGGGACTGGGGGAATCAGCAATAAGAGGGGCTGGGTCTCCCACGAAACCACACCCTGACCCGAATCCCCGGTCTGTTTGGGTTCCAGGAGCCTCACTCCCCACCCCCCCAGATTCCTTCCCACTCAGATGCAGGTGTAGATCTTGGCGACCATCTCGGTACCCAGGGTTCCTCCCAGCGACTCCGGAAAGTGCAGCCCCCGCCCTTATTCGCTTGGCCAACACTCCCCGATACAGTTTCACACCCTGCCTGAGCTGACCACACCGGCCTGCAAACGACGACAGCCAGACACCAGTCCCCTCCCAATGTTGGTGAATAAATAAATAAGATAGCCGTAGACGTGGAGATAAGACAGGTGGGACAGCTGGAATGTGGGAGGGGTTTTCATTGGAAAGTGAACCATCTTGGCAAGGATGCAGGGCATTTTGTTGAGGACAAGTGTGGGATAATGCTGGACAGGTGAAGCACTTGGGTGTCTCCAGACTCAGCAGCCAAGAGGAGGAGTTTGGAATTCCCCTTCAGGTGGCATCATGAAGACTCCTGTTGGAAAGTCCCGAAACGGCATTTTGGGGTCCAGGACCCATCCTCACGCTCCCTTCAGCACCAGCTCTTCCCTATCCTGCCTCCCAGTCTTTTGCTCTCCTCTCCACTCTACATCCTCCTCACGGACAATTGCTGTAAACATCCTTCCTGGATCCCTTCTTTGGATTTCATTTCTATTCACCCTCCCCAGACACTCTGTTCACTAAGACTTGCCTCTATCCTGGATCTCCTCTGCTATTCCATCTCCTCATATTGAAATTGTCAATCAAAACAGTTGACTAGAGTGGGGATCAAAAAGTATACAGGCATACCTTAATATTTTGTTTTAAACTGAAATCATAAATGTAGAGCCATTCATGAATATAGGGTCAATAAAGTGTTTTCTTTGAGTGTAAGTTCACAGCAAAAGCTCTCCTAGGTCTTTCTCACATAAGCCACATGAAGATAAGTTGACATTTATTTTAAATGGAGCTAGAACCTAAAGATTCTTGGCATGGGGGGCGGCAGGGGGTAATAAATACAGCATCTTTCTAGATCTTGACAGTTTTCTCCAAACCTTTTATAGTTACAGTTCTTACTCCTAGTCATTAAATTAACAGTGATGTTTGAATGACTATTGTTTATGTAATTATAAAGTATTCAACTTGGTTTTGGGGGGAGTTGTTTTTGGGGTTTTGTTTTGGAGGTTTTTGTTGTTGTTGTTGTTGTTTAGTTGGAGTCTCACTCAGTTGCCCAGGCTGGAGTGCAGTGGCACACTTGCAACCACTGCAGCCTCAACCACTGGACTGAGGCGATCCTTCTACCTCAGTCTTCCAAGTAGCCGGAACTACAGGCATGTGCCACCATGCCCAGCTAATGTTTTGATTTACTGTAGAGATGAGGTCTCGCACAAGTTGCCCAGGTTTGTCTCGAAACCCTGAATTCAGGCAATCCCTCGCCTCGGCCTCCCAAAGTGTTAGAATTACAGGCTTGAGTCACCGAGCCTGGTGGGTTTTTTGTTTTTTAGATTAGAAAAGAAATTTTTTTCAGAAAGTAGATCGGCGGGGAGTCTCAAGATTGGAGAGGGGGCTAGAGGCTTAACGAAAACATGGCTCAAATTGGTTTTAATGAAAACGATACCTGCATGTTTATAGTCCTATTTCATTAGTTTGTCTATAAATTGCATAATTAAAATAACAAATATAACGGACAAACAGTTTTGGAAGCTTATACAACTATTCTTGATAAACATAAAACTCAACTGATGGCATTAAAGTGCCAGGCATGTCAGAAATTAACTATGTGCATTTGGCATGCTGTGGGCATGTCAGTCTTTGGGGGAGGAAAAGGAAAGTGTCAGCCACCTGATACATTGGTTATGTGTAGGTGATTTAGAAGCTTCTATTGTAAAATCTAGTTTCTCTCTGATGCTACCTGTTCACTGCAACCACATCTTCCAGTCCTCAAGAATTCTGGGAACATGAGTGGTCACAACACTTTCTGTTCCTGCAGTCATGTACATAGACTTGTGTCTCTGCCATCTCTCAGTGACTCCCTTCTCAAGTCTACACTATTCCCCAATAAAACCCTCTTTCCTTCCTCCTCAAAATTAAATTACTCTCTCATCCTCCCCACCGACTCCAACCCCTGATAAACCCAACCTCCACTCTGAGCCCTATCATTAGCCTCAAGAGCCTCACCTTCTCTTACTCCTTAGCGATACATTCCCTCCACCTGCTCAGCCTCTAACCCCCATTTTTCACATTTCAGTCACCCATCAGAGCAGTCACAAACTGGACATCATTCATTGTCACTTAAAATTCACCTGCAGTACATTACACATGTAGTGGCTTATCCACTCAACCCACGAGCCGTTCTCCTTTTCCTCAAGTTTATGCCTGAAGAGAGAAAAGAAGAGATAAAATGTGCATTTCTGAGGCTTTTCCAGGTCCTATGAGACCCAGCTCAATTCTCCTCCTTGGGTTCTATGAGATACTCAAGTGGCCTTCCAATAGATTCCTCTTTGTTTCTTAAGTTGGCTTGTAGTAGTAGGACTAAAGCAATCAAATATACCATGTATAAGACCAAAAAATATCTTATCAGGAGTGAGTTCCAGTTGCACAAAAGGAAAATTATGAAACCAAGTAGCAATGAGTCTCAAAAAGTTGAAGTATAAACATGAGCTTGTTTTCCTCTTCTAATAAACCCCCCTCCACCTTCTTGCTGAGTAGCAGTTTGCTTAATAATTTCTTAGCCTGAGTCCACAATTATCCATTCTTGTTTAATAGGATAATCTTATTTCAATATTCTGGATTGTTTCTTTTATAATTTCCACCTCAAAGTCCGTTCTAAGCTGACCTCCTTGCCTCCTCCTCTTCTAAACTCTGCTCCCCTCTGACTGTCCTAACTCAAGCTACACCTGTTTTTGGACATAGAGGCTTAGAGCAAAGAGAGAGTGATCCGTTTTTCATACACCTTCCTTTTGTTCCCCTCTCTTGGAATTTTGTACTCTCATACATCCTCTATGAAGCAAGCCAAGAGAGAATGAAGAAACTCCACTTAAGTAACTGATCAAGGTTATCTCTGCCATCTGCTACTGGCTACCTGTGTGGACATGATGGTACATATGAGCAATTTTCTTGGAACAGTGTTCAGCTTTGTGCCTATCTAGCCTTGCTATCAAAAAACTCCTCCCCAGAACAGGAGTCATATTTCATCAGTGTAATACTCTGACATCATTTTCAGGTTGGATGTCCCATTGTTTGTCCTGGAAAAACAGCAGTCCAATAGCTTTTGCCCCTCTGCTAGCCTCCATACTCCCTCTTGTGAAGTCAAAGGAGTCCCTGATGCCCTTTTGTATGCAGTTTAAGGACGGCAGAGAAGTAGGATGAGTTGAAAGTGGCTCCCATCTTCTTCCAAAGCATAAGCATGGTTCTTTTAGGCCTTCCTGGCATTCTTTATTTGTGTCTCATTCAAAAATCTTCAACAAGATTTCTTCATTCAAAAATCTTCAGACCAGTAGCAAACATGAGTTACTATATTAAAATATGCCCCCAGATGGGATGCAGTGGCTCACACCCTTAATCCCAGCACTTTGGGAGGCCAAGGTAGGAGGCTCGCTTGAGGTTAAGAGTTCAAAACTAGTCTGGACAATATAGCAAGAACCTGTCACTACATAAGGTAAGATAAATAAAAATAAAATAAACCAGCTGGGCATAGTGGTACACTCCTGTAGTCTCAACTACGTAGGAGACCTAGGCAGGAGAGTTGCTTAAGCCCAAGAGTTTGAGGCTGCAGTGAGCCATGATCCTGAGTCCTGTCTCTAATTTTTAAAAAATGCCTCCAAATTCAGAAATATATGCCAAATAGTCCCCTGCCGTAATGGAGGACAGCATTGAAAGGCAAATACTGTATATTTCTAAGGCTTCAGAACTCTTTTATGATAACTTTATTTCACTACTTTACACTCCAATAATGGCACTAGGAGATTCACATCCTACCAGTTTTCCTAAATCAGTCAAGGGCCCAATAGAAAACAGTTGGCACACTTACATTAGTATAATTTAAGGAGGGTTTATTTCCAAAGAAACAACTTGATGGACAGGTTGTGAGAGAACCACAAAGGGATAGTGTGGGAGCCTGAGGCTGGCAGAAGTGTAACTGACACCACCCCTAGGTCCAAAGGAAAGAAGAAAGGGAGAGTTGACTAGAACCTAGAGAACGTTATCTAGAGAAGGCTATCTTGAAAGGACAATGTCCTTTTGTCAAGTTACCTAACCTGAAATGGCCTTTTAGGGAGAAAACCAGGAGAAGAAACACCGGCTCACTCTCCTCCCTCATATGGTCACTGGGGCTCCCCATTTGGCAAACTGAACTAGAGGCCAGAGAATATGAAAGCCTAATAATATCACCCCTAAGTTTATTCTCTCAGGGAAGAGAAAAGATGGATAAGGGTAGAAAATGGGTTTGGAGAGACAAAAAGAATTCATCCAGAACATTTCTTTTCATTTTGTTTTGTGTATAGCAACTTAAATGTTTTTAATTTTATATATTTAGAGAGTACAAATGCAGCTTATTTACATGCATATACCGCATCATTGGGAAGTCTAGACTTTCAGTGTACCTGTCACTCAAACAGTATAAGTAGTATTTCATCTCTCATCCTCCTCCCCACCCTCCCGCCTTTGGTAGCGTCCAGTATCTATTATTCCACTCTGAAGTCCATGTGTACATATTGTTGAACTCCCACTTAAAAGTGAGAACATGCAGTATTTGACTTTCTGTTTCTGAGTTATTTCCCTTGGGATCATGGCCTTCAGTTCCATCCATGTTGCTGCAAAAGATTTTATTTCATTATTTTTATGACTGAGTAATATCCCATGGTGTATATAACATATGTATATACACCACATTTTCTTTATCCAAACTTTCATTGATGGACATTTAGGAACATACAAA